GGATGAGTACCTAAAGAAGATGGAATATCCAAGTAGGTCACCTGACCTGAATCCCCTCAATTACCCGGTTCGGGCGGAGTTCAATAGGGTGGTCTACGGTGGCGGAGAAATCGACTATCTCGCTGATCTCAGGCACCACGTCGCGTGCCAGAATCTCTCGATGGCGCTCGTCCAGAAGGCTGTGGCGGAGTGTCATGATAGTATTTAATATGCTCTTCAATATGGTGGTAGAAATGTCCGATCAGAATTTATAAAGTGTAACTTATAGCGCCTCGAAAGTCAAGGAAGAAAAGTGACTTTTTTTGGCCCCGTAGATAGCTACTAACTACGTAACTAGGTCGACACCTATATTTCCTAACCCTGGAAACGCTTGTGGTCGCTGGTGGACGCTGGCAGATGCTTGCAGACGCTACATTTATATCTACCCTTTCCCTACTCGCTGACTAGGACAGTTCTGTAAAAGACTGGACGTTTGGAACGCTGGTTGACGATGCCGCAAAATGTGAACGCAGCCTCAGGATTAGCGAAATGAACGCCTCCAGCTGCCTTTTCCACCAATGGTCGATCGGTTGGTGGTAGATATTTGAAAAAAACAAACAGTTGTTAAAACTTCGGAGATGGGCTCAACTCCTGCCTTTGACCAGGGCAGGCCATCGTGGGTGTGCAACTTCCGCAAAATACGATCCTATGAAAGAAAGTCTCGGTAGAACCCCCTACTCGAAAAATATAAGATGATACTGAATCTGTACTTGAACAGGGCACATCATTACTTGGAGATTCTAGCCGAGTCCGTACGACCCCTCCCCCCTTTAGAGCGCCCCTGGAACAAGAACAAACAACTATCAAAAAAATTTTCCCGGACCAAGTAGGACCCCTGCTGTTGGGGAATCTCCAACAATGATGTGCCCTGTACTTGTATTCTGAATGTTTGCGAGCAATTCAACAGTTGCAGTGGAGTGAGCCATTTCGCAGCATCTTTTCAAAATGGGCTAGGAGCTCTGGAAGTACTCTTTTCTTTATCGAAGATCCGCAGGTTTTTGTGAGTGACCTTGTGAAGAGGGGGGAAAATCGTATAACGAAGCCCTAAGTTTGCTAAGTTTGGTTTCTATTAGATGTGCTTGAGCGATTTTGAACAAATCTCCTCGTCAAGGAAGTTCCCCCGTTATGATGCCATTGTTGGATTTTAGTGTCCCCTACGATGTTTCATTTTGCACAGTCCATAGCACTCCTCATATGACTTTGAGGATAACCAAATACTGTGCGAATCTAATGACATCCATTTTTGAAGAGCCCACTATTTACTTTCATAGGACCCACTGAAATTCACTGCGTTGTTTTTGTTGCTGACAGTTTCGGACGATGCAAAAACCGATGCTAATGCCGTGTCGACGAGCTGAGTTTGGCTGCTGTATTTTATGAGGTGATGATCCCAATCAGCTAAAAAAAGTAAGGGAAATGTAACGTCCTAATTACGCATATGACATTCTTTCTGGCTGCTGCCTAATGAGGACACTACAATTCTGCGCTCGCCAAGCTGAGCCTAAATTAACACTTAGTGTTCCTTCATTAGCGCCAAGCGCCAAGAATTTATTCCCTACTCCTAATCAGGAACTTACGTTACCCTGTTATACAGTTCTGGGACTATTCATTATCCAAAAACCCAGCACTTTAGAAATACCAGCAGCAAAACCTCAGCACGTCCCAAACGCGAATCAGCAAAAACATACCTCTCCGGCGCAGCAAACATTCCAGTTTGAGGCGCAGATTCCCGACGTGGCAGGTGGAAGGTGGGCGGGGGGGGGAGGGTTTTGCTGCTTCACTAGTTCCGCTTTGCAAGCCTCACTACCATGAAAACTGCGAACTGACTTTGGGAGCTGGAGCAAGCCCATCGAGGCACCATCGTTGAACCTGTCAACTTTTCTAACCTCACGAAAAGCCTCCTAGCGGGATCGACATGTTGATGGGAAGAAGCAAAAGTGCAGAATGCCCAATTTGCTATCTCGTCTTTCAGACTTCGCTCAGAGATGCTTTCACCTTTGTAAATAGTTTGTAAAAACTTCGAGGGCTTTCACCAACTAGTTTCCCGAGTTCATTCTGCTCCCGATTTGCCTCTATTAGTGTTCAAGTTATAGTCTGATCTTTGGATGCCACGTCAGTTTGACCCAGAAAAGCTCGCCATTCGCGCCAAGCTTTGCGTCCAAACTGTTCTGGCCTCATGCTTAGGGGTGGCTGAAGACAAAGATTACCATAAGCACTGGACTGGAAATTCAACCATAATACGAAATGTGAAGCTGTTCACAGATGACCTGGAAGGCTTTCCCACTCCAAGGGAGGAAATCTAAGGGATGCTTGCTTCTAAAACCATTAGTGATGAAGGCATTTGTCCTTATCTGCAATTATTATCCACATGTAAGGAACACTACGATTAAGTGCATTATCATAATGCATCGTTAATATCACAAATTAATGCCACTGGGACCTCAATACCGAAGCTGACGATGTCGTAAACGTGTGCAGAAAATGCGCAGCAGACTTTACCTACTGTTTCCTACCACACGCGGAGGACACGCTAGCATCTACTAGATGTGTCCTGGTCTGTGTCGACCTACCTGGCCCCGGCCGGGTACTGACATGCGCGACCAGGTTACCGTAATCAACGCACTGATCCGAACCTGTGATGTGGTCCCTCGGGTCCGTTGTGCGCGTTCACGGCCAACACAGTTAAATTCACGCGTAATTGCCGGGAGTGCTGTATGCGCTCCGACTTCCTGAATTTATAAAATTATCCTTTCTCACTCCACAGAGACCACAGATCCAGCACGTTATTTCGGTAACCCGGTCGCGCATGTAGACACCAGGCGGATCGCTCCCCGTTTGGAACCACGCCCCGGACCTGTCTTCCTGAACTGATACCCCGCCCCAGACCTGCCTTCCTGGACTTTAAATGTTAAGTTGAGAAAGCTATAAGTGCCGTTGGAAGAAACAGTGGGAGATTGAGGTGGCTGCTGGTGAAGCACGCACCATTCATTCGTGAGTTCCCTAGTACGGCACCGGTCCTCCGAACACCCACGTCTCACATTGACTGAAGCTCATATCATGTTTGGGACAACCCGCGACCTAGCATTACTGGTAGGGGTGCTGGATTTGCGGAGAAGTAACGCGCATACATTAGATGAGGCGGCAAGAAGGAAACTAAATAATGAAAGCTTTGAGAGCCACCTACGCTGCCAAAAACCCCATCATTTGACAGTTACACAGTTTCAAAGACGATTTTCAGCTGTAGTTGCTACATATTCGACATTCTGTGGGCTTCCGAGCGGGCCGCTAAGTTCACAGATCACTTCACCGCACCATCTTAGTACTGGATACCATCTAAAATCCGATAAAAAAAATACAAAATCAAAAGCACTGGAACCGAAAGTAGCTATAGAAAAGCCTGCGCATGAAATTAGGACAAGACAAGCAATGCAAACGGCTTTTGCACCAACTCGCGTGCGTCGCTGGTAAGTTCAAACAGCGCTCAAACACCCTTGCCTTGCAAACTGGACTGCCACTGAGTTATCGTTTTTTTGAAAAAGTACCCAGAAAAAGCAGACACAACCTTAGTAGAGCTCGCAGGGATGCGGACAAAGTAAAGATTCTATTGCGGCCCATTTAAAAAGAAGTGTCCCTACAAACAGCTAACAGGCGACACGCGGCATATACGTTCACTGCTGGCAAGTCGTTTGTCTTGCAGAAGTGAAAAGAGCAAAGCTCACAGGAGTCACGGCATCTTGCAGGCTGCGTTTACGGTGCGCCGCGCTTTCGAGTGAAAGAGAGCGGTACACTCTATGCGTGCGAAGCTGCGGACAGGTTCACGCACCGAATGAACGGGAGTCTCGCGCATCAACTTGCGTGCAAAAACAGTCTTTAAGCTGTAACTGTCCCCCGTTAGCATTGGGCCGGGAGCAGTGCAACCTACTATAAGAATGCAGCTGCAGTATTGCTTCGACACACTAAGCAGATCCAAAACAGGAAAACTAGCAGCAGTGAGAAAACTATTTATTAACGCTCTATTGAAGCACAGCAATAACGAGAAACAAAAAAGCCTTTAAATAAGGAAAACGGAAACAGTTGGATTAAGATTTAGAGGGCGCAGGTATTTTTGGCCTGATAGAAAATTCGATAGGGTGACCCTAGCAAATGGTAAGCGAGATACAAAAAAAGTTTTTCTGGGAGTTGTTTTTCGGATAAAATGCACCCTATAAGCATCTGTGACTAAAGCCTTATTCGAAACCATCCATAACTCTGAGGTAGGGAGGGCGTGGCTGCGCGCTTCACTCGAACATGGCTTGACATACGGTTGTTTTGGGCCGGGGCATAGCTATACTTCTCCCAAAGCGAAAGTTCTCATAAGTACAAATGCACCGGTTCAAACGAAGCACAGCCAGCCCCCCCCCCTTCCTAACTCCAGGGTATAACATGTAACATATTTGATACACAGCAAATGGATTTCTTTTCAAGCTCAAGGGAAGGCCGCGTTCAGACTTCGCGCGCGCGACCATGACTGGTGGCGCTTCCACTGCTAAACAGTGCACCGCCGCACGGCGCATTCAAACTGGTACTGTATGAGCGCGGCCCAATTTGAATTCTGTTCAACGGTTCACTGATTGAGGATGGTTGTGATCGCTTGATCCAATTGCGTGATTGCAAGTATGACATAAAGCAATAGAATGAATGAAAAAAGCAATGCACTTCTGATATGTTTCAAAACAGTACTGAGATCGTTTAAATATTGCACGAATACTTTGTACTAAATACTCAACACGGATGTCAGAGAATAGGTTTCTAACCGCCGTTACTGTCGAGAGAACCGTAACAAAGCGTCTTCAATGGAGCCTAGTTCTGTTTGTGAACCTCCTCCAATAGTAGTCATCCTCGCGGAAATCTACAAGAAAATGCGGGCAACTATAGACAGTAGTGGAAAACATAAAAAGAACGCACAGAAATCATCATCGTGGTCGTCGGAGTCGTCGGAAGAATAAAAAGGTGGAACAGGGTAGCCATTGTCGTATGGATCACCATCCGTATCACTAGCGACAGGGGAAACTGCAAGAAAGGCGTGCGACGACAACAAATCGAGGACAGCGATTGAATGGACAAAATATAAACCAACTTGTTTCAAGTTTAACATGAGGTCCCGCATGCTTCACCAATGACTTACAGGCAGCGCACTTGCATCGAGGCCGAATGTGACTTATGGATTCGATAGCTGGAATACCGCTTGAATCTGACTTTTTTTTACTCCTTTTAGCAGCTTTTATCACAATAACTACAACAGAAACAAACTGACCTCTGAAACTGCAAAGGCTCATAAGCAGCTCATCTTCTGCTGAGTGATCTGTATAATGTTCAAGGTCAATAGCTATAGGCCTATCCACATGATTGGCTATACATCTGAAAGATTTGAAAGGCATAAGACACGGTAATTTGGCACTCGGTCTAAAGTGATAGCAGGGGTACCATGCAGTGGAAAAATGGTGAAAAAGCGAAGAAACACTCAAAAATCTGCAAGGAAACCTCCGCTCTACATGAGTCAGAGAGCACTTTCGGACGAATTTCCCGTTGGCATCGCCAATAGCCGCTACGCTAGATACGGTTTTGCGGGCGGGCGGGCGCGGTGAGGGTCCGGGTCACTATGTTGCAGCTTGATAGGGCGCTACAAGGGTACCTTCCTTGGGAAAGGCGTCACGCAGCGCATACTGATGGGAGCCGAATTCTGTCCGGCTAGGTTTATCCTACGTGTCTAGCGTTTTATCGTGCCACCTGCCTTACAAAGACAAGTTCCAAAACAACCTTTGGAACTGGCGTTAATCAATTGAACACTTTTTTAGTGGAGCACAGTAAAAGCGGCAAAGAGCAACGGTATATGGAAGACTAAACATACAACAGGAACATACATAACATGCCCCACCATAAGCAACAGGAGGTTTTTCTACTATTTGTTGCGCCCACGGGAACGCGAAGTTTAAGCAGTCTTACAGTAACTGTTTCAGCCTGAAACAGCGCGGTGTCCACCGCTGTATCCCTCGCGGGTAAAGTGCTGAAGAGTGTTCCTCAAAACGTGGAAGGTGCCAGCGGTTTAGCTGCGTGGGTAGCGGTTCAGCTGAAGTTTTATGTGGCTCGAACCTAATAGAGAGGTTAACCGTCAAGAGCCCTGAGTTTCTAGCCACGGCGTTTCGACGGCTTCGAAATGCAGCTAGTGAGACATTGACCCGAGGAAATGTCCAACGTCCTTTCAGCTCGTCACTACGCAGACAAGTTTTGGAGCCAAATTTGCTCCAATGAAAGATGTATCTACACAATGTGGCATACTGACAGAATTTTTCGAACAGCCTTGAATTTTGGAGAGGAGGTTAGGAGCATTACAGTCTTTACATATAAAGACAAACTGCACGCTACTCGGTGGATGCTGGCTCTCGCTCTGCTGGGGAAAATGGCTCCGCAGCTGCAGTCAAGAGTACATGGGAAGATGGATGAAGGGTAGTGGTACCCAAACGACGGCGCCGCGCTACCCTCAAAGGACAGCACTTGTTCGAGATCAAGCTCCTGGAGCGAAACACTCACACAGCCTTGGAGAACAAATAGGAGTGAGAAAGCAGAAACACGTGACGCGTTCGGCTACAGTTAGGTGCGTAGCTAGCCCTGCGGCAGCATAGGCGGGGCAGCATCCCCGTTCCCGTGCATTTTTGTCCTAGAGAAATGGCACACTAGCTGCGGGGTTCTCCCCGCACACGATAAGGGTCATTGTCAAGGGAAGTGAGCGCATAGATTGCTTCTGAAGGTTAATTGGGGGCAGACATTCCTAGGCGCTGAAGATTTCTCCGAAGGAACTGCAGTGCGCAACGCGACTAAGTGTAACAGAAGATGTTCTCCGTTGATTACTGAGGCAGCGTTCAGACTTCGCGATCGCGTCGCTAGTGGTAGCGGCCTGTTGTGTGGCGCGACCGCGCTCCAATGCAAAAATCGGCTGGACGATGCTAATTCACAGCGGTATTTACTTGCTTATTCGTTCTTTCTCCTCACATTAGTTTTTCGCCTGTTTTTTTTTCCAACTCACTCTTTTTCATTCCCAATTTTGCTGAGAT